ATCAAATTTAGAAAAATGTCAACCCTTATTACTTCTAATATATTTTTTGTTCCTATCTCATTCCCTTCTCCTTTGGAATTCCAATTACACATAAAACATGCCACTTGAATTTGTTGCACAGCTCACTCATACATTGTTTGATAAATCTTTAGGTTTTCTAATCTTTTCTTCTGCCAACACCTACTTGTCGTTAGTTCCATCCAGTATATTTTTTTAATCTCAAATATTGTAGTTTTCAACTCTAGAAGTTCAATTTGGATCTCTTATATATCTTTCATGTTTCTACTTAACGCTTTCAACATATGAACTACAGTTATAATAAATATTTAAATATCTTTACCTGCTAATTCTAACATCTGTACTAGCATTCTGGGTGTATTTCAGTTGATTGGTTTTTCTCATTATGAGTCATATTTTGCTGCATCTTTGCATGCCTAGTAATTTTGGGGGGTGCCAGATGTTATGAATTTTACTCTACTGGATGAGAGTATTTTTGTATGCTGAGTACTCTACTGCTGAGTATTTTTGTATGCCTATAAACATTCTTGAACTTTGTTCTGAGATGTTTAAGTTACTTGAACACAGTTTGACCCTTTCAAGTCTTGCTTTAAACATAGGACCAGAAAACCCCTCAGTTTATTTTTTTATATTTTATTTATTTATTCATGAGAAACACAGAGAGAGAAGCAGAGACATAAGCAGAGGGAGAAGCAGGCTCCTCGAGGGGAGCCCGATGTGGGACTCTATCCCGAGACTCCAGGACCATGCCCTGAGCTGAAGGCAGACGCTCAACTGCTGAGCCACCCAGGTGTCCCTAGCTCTCAGTTTAGAACTAATTATTCCACACTACTGAGGTAAGATCCTCTGTGTACACTTCCAAATGCCCCATGAATTACAAGTGGTAAGAATTAGCACTATTCATGGCCCTGTTTGAATGTGGTCCCTATCACCTTGAATTCTTTTCGGTGGTTCTTTCCCCAGTCTGAAGTATTTTCTTCACACTCAGGTGCTGATGAATACTTGCTGAACACTCAGAGGGGATCTGCTAAGGAGCTCCAAAGTTCTTTTTTCTATTCCATTCACTTATTTCCAGTATTCAATTCTTTGAATTTTAACTGCTTTGGTCTCCTCAGACTCTCAAATCTTTTTCCTCAGCTCAGGGAGTCCCTTAGGTTCAGCTCAAGTTCCCTCCCTCTGCACCACAGTCATGGAACTCTCAAGGCAACCAAATGGAGCAATTGTAGGTCCTCTTCATTTACTTCTAAACTCTCAGGGATCACTACCTTTCTTCACCTGATGTTCAGTATCTTGAAAATCATTGCTATGTTTTGCCCATATCTTAGTTGTTTTAGGCTGAAGCATAAACCTGGTTCCTATTATTTAATCTTGACTGGAAGCAGAAGAATTCCTATTTAATTTAATTTTAATTAATTTTAATGTAGGTAGCCAAATCTGACCAGTGGCTCTTGTATTAGTACAGTTAACAATTGCTGGGGTTACTGAGATTGAGATTTTAAAACACAAATGTAAACCTCAAATGGGTGTATTTTTTAAAACATATCCTTTAATAGACATTGTGTTATAAATGCAAGTTAATTCAGTCAATTCTCAGTTCAGCCCTGATAGAGGCAGCCTCATAAACATTATGCTTTGAAATTGTTCAGGTCATTTCAGTACAGTTCCTGTCTCCAAACTCTGTGTTATCACATTTTTCTGAATGTAAATAAGCAGTATTGTCACAGTGAATTACAAGGATGAAGAAACAGAAGGAGAGTTTTCAGTTTTTTCATTCTAGTGGCCATTTGGAATTTTTGTTTTTAAAATATAAAATACTAAAAAAGTGCAGACCAAAAGGTGTGCCAAGAGCAAACAACAGTACATGCAGGACATATTTTACCAAATTTGAATAATATCTTTAAAATGAAATTTATTCCTTTTTTATCAATGTATTTAATTGTTGTTAAACTGAAAAATTATTATTCGTTACAATAACAGACCTATACATAGGTGTATTTTTTTTCTTCTTCATCAAAGACAAATATGTAGTTAAAAATATTTATCTATTTTTTTCCTTATTTGTTTTTTTTTAAGATTTTATTTATTCACGAGAGACACAGATAGAGAGTGAGAGGCAGAGACACAGATAGAGGAGAAGCAGGCTCCATGCAGGAAGCCCGATGCAGGACTCAATCCTGGGACTCCAGGATCATGCCCTGGGCTGAAGGTGCCAAACCACTGAGCCACCCAGGGATCCCTACTTTTTCCTTATTTGTATTGTGTTTACTTTTATTTTTTACAAACAGGGTGTATATTTATATATTATATATATACAATATGAATTTCAGTGACAGAAAATATTTGCTGTTCACATTTTTCTGCATAATTTATCGTTCATTTCTTTCATGGTTTTTATTGGAAATAATTTTGTTGTATAGGGAATAGTGTTTTGGAAGTTTCAGTTCTGAGGGCGCCTGGTGGCTCAGCTGGTTGAGTGTTGAATTCTTGGTTTCCACTCAGGTCATGATCTCAGGGTCATGAGATTGAGCCTGGCATTGGGCTCCACGCTCGAGCTCATGCCCCTCTGCGATTCTCTCTCTTCTCTCTCTCTTCCCCCCACTCACTCTCACTCTATTTTGCTCTCTCTCTCTAAAAAAAAAATCCTTTTTAAAAAATTATCTGTTTAGTTTGTCAAAAACACTAGGCTTGCCATTTGTCAGTAGACAAACAATTTTTTGCAACTCTTATTCCAAGGTGCTAGTTTCTTTAATATATAGACTTCCTATAAAACAAACAAACAAAAAGGCCAAACAAACAAACAAAAAAAATCCAATATACATCAGCAAAAGATATGATTAGTGCAAGGAGAAAGATATAAAAATCTCAAAGTTTGAGCATATTGAAAGATGTTCAGCCTCACTCATTGGGTAAATCGCAAATAAAACTGTATGTACCCTGATAACATTTTTATATACCAAATTGGCAAAGATAAAAAAGTTAGTGAGGTATATGTTCTGTGGTCAAGATTATGGAAAATAGGCACTGTCTGATATCAAGGTTGGGAATGCAAATGAAAACAACCTCTATAAGGAGAAATTAGGCAATATCTTTCAAAGTTAAAAGTGCTGATTTTTTAAAATTTCACTCCCAGGTTAAGTACTGACAGATATATTTAGTATAGTGGGAAATGATGTGTATTATGTAAAAAGATTCACTGTAACTTTGTTTCTAATGACAAAACCTTAGAAAGGGCCACTGGTCGCAAATTGCACTGGCGTTGGGGGGCAGAGTTAGAAAATAAAACATAGGCTCATGTACAATAATGATCTCTGGAAAGATTCACAAAGAGCTATTAAGTGGTTGACCCCGAGGTGGGCCTTGGTAAGTTAAATGGATAAGGGAAAAAAGGAAATATACTTTTTATAGGCACCCTTTTGAACCTGTTTGTAATATTCCTTTGTGTTTCCTATTTTTTTAATTAATTAAAAATGAAAACAACAACAAAATTTCAGCCATCTTAAAAAACAAAACTGTTTTCATATTAAAAAACAAAACTGTCATAATAAAAATAAGGCCAAAAAACTAGGCCAATGATTTTTTTTAAATCTCTGAGGCAAAAATAATGGAATTGACCCCAAAGCAATACTCCCAATTTCTAAAGAAAAGAGTAGAATGCCCACCTTACCTGCAAACATCGTACAACCATTTTTCTAACATTTCCAGCAACAACATACTGGTCCTGGGCCAAATGGTGTAATTATTTTAAAAATAAAACAAACAACAACAAAAATAACAAAATTCAAATTCTTTGTTAAGTATTCATCATTTAGTATTAGTAGAGAAACATTACTTTTTTATCTGAATAGGGTGGCTGCTGGTTAAATATCTGGTTGTCGGGGTATCAGAGCATGACTTTATATCAGAAACAGGTATGATAAAAGATGGACAAATCCAAGGAGAGGAAAAGATTATAGAAAAAAATTGCTAGCGAAGACCAGGATGAGAAGACACTGAGGCCACAGGAGGCCTAAAACTCTCCAAATGGAAAGACTTCCCATTAACTTTCAGGATATGAGTTTATTCACTTCTGGAAGAAAGACAAAATGCTATATTGTTTGCCCTTTTTGAATCTTTTCCATTTTTTCCTCTCAATATTTTCCAGGGAAATGATGATTATACCAGGTAGTTAATGTCATAATAATAAAATCACCACAAAATCTCAGTGTCAGAAAATTTATTTAATATACTAGGCTGCAGGTTGGCTGGTGATCAGCTGATCTAAATTGGGCTCAAGTAGAGGGATTCTTCTTTGCTTGCCTAGCTATATTCTTCTCATAGCTATGGCAGAGAAGCAAAAGGACAAACCTAATTGGACAAATACTTTCCAATCTCTTGTGTAACACCTACTGACTGCTTGTTAATTAAAGCGAGTCACATGGCCAGACCCAGAGTCTACAGTTAAGAAAATACACCTTTCCCCCAGCAAATGACTGGAATGCAGGGAGGAGAATTGGGGCCACTTACAATCTATCACAGTTACCATCATATTTGCATTTCCATAGGGTCTTAAATGTTCATTCATGTTTTCCCATGTATTTTTCTTTTTTAAAAAAATTTTTATTTATTTATGATAGTCACAGAGAGAGGGAGAGAGAGAGAGAGAGAGAGAGAGAGAGAGAGAGACAGGCAGAGAGAGAAGCAGGCTCCATGCACCGGGAGCCCAATGTGGGATTCGATCCCGGGTCTCCAGGATCGCGCCCTGGTCCAAAGGCAGGCGCCAAACAGCTGCGCCACCCAGGGATCCCTTTCCCATGTATTTTTCATTTGATCCTTGGAATAGCTCTGTGAGAATATTATTTTTATTTTCTACATTTTACAGAAGAACAGAATCAGAAAGTAGTCATTTACCCAAGTTCACACAGCTACTTAGCAGTACAAGCAGGAATTGGCGACCTTTTCTGTACTTTGGTCATAGTTGATCATTCTTTTTCCTTTGTTTATAGGATACAGATGAAAACCAAAAACAATGGATAAGGAAACCCCAGGTAAAGTTATACAGCTATGTACTAGGGTAAATAAGGGATTGTTTGCTTCCTGTTTTCTAATTACCAACCACCGATCTAAAATTGTTTCATTGTCGTCCTGCCTAGAATAAAAAGACAAAATTCAAGTCAAAATAATCGTTACATCATTGCAAATACCAAGGGCCAAAACAAAACAAAACAAAAACATATCATCCATATACACAAAAAAGCAATAGTAACAGAAGAGTTGAGTCATGTTTTATAGATGAGTAGACTATAGTCATAATTGCTAAAAATTTTTTGACATGTGCTTCTAGTATATGTAAATATATTTACTTATCAATAATAAATATACTGCTATATAAATAATGCAGCTTAAAAAACAAATACAATTTGCGACACCTGTGTGGCTCAGCAGTTGGAGGTCTACCTTCGGTTCAGGGCATGATCCGGGGTCAGGGAATTAGGTCCTGCATTGGGCTCCTGGTGGGGAGCCTACTTCTCCCTCTGCCTGTGTCTCTGCCTCTTACTCTGTGTTTCTCATGAATAAATAAAATCTTTAAAAAAAATACAATTTTAAGCACATCAATAATATTTTAATAATTTTCAACAGTCTTTAATAGAATAATATCATTAAACACACTTCATTATTTTTTAAATTTTTCATTTGATTTCATGGCATATTAGCTGCAAAAGATAATTCACAAGACGCAAAATGCACAATAAACACATAGGGAGAGGTTCATCATTAATGATATAAATCTATATTTAAATACTCATTTTAATATTACTGATTGAGGGGACAGGGCTGACTTCATATAGTACTTAATTAACTTTTCATTGTTTTTAACCCTGCCATGTGGCTGATGAACTGCTCCTACTGGGGTTAGAAGTGTCGACTCTGCCATTCGCTTATCTGTGGATGTTGCAGTTGGGTATTATTTTCAATCCAGCATTCATTTCACTGTACAAATGTATATGATCCTCTGTCTTAAAACAAAAACCCTCTCTTGACTTAATATCCCCTTCCAATTATTGCCCCATTTCTCTGTGCCTCTTTACATTTAAACTCTCAAAAATTTGCAGTGCTCAGTTTCTCTTTTTCCATTATTTCTTGAACCCAGTCAGACTTGAGTTCCCACCATTCCAACAAAATTTCATTTCCCAAGGTCACCATTTAACTAAAGAAGCATTAAACACAACTGCCGGCCACTCCTTCCTTCTCCTTGCTACTGTGCAGTATTTTCTATTTATTTGTTTTTTACTTCACTGACCACATCTTCTCATTTCCTTTTCTAACTCTCCATCATCTCCTCAACTTCAAAATATTGGGAGGCTCACATCCTCCAATGGCTTTATATTTCATTCTGAGAATAAGCTGGTCTCTACAGTGAATTTTAAGTCCTATATGATTGTTCGCCCAACCCTCCAGTTCTCTGATCTCACCTCCTCTTCCTCTCCCTCCAGCCACTTACTCCTCTGCAACCACACCAGGTCTCTACACCAAGAGCACATCACCTATGCTTCTCCCCTACAGATTTGGCTAATTATGACCATGACACCTCACATCTAGGTAGGTGCATGGCTTGCTCACTCACCTTCATATCTCTGCTCCAAGATAAACCTTCCCTGACAATTCCATACAAAAATAGCAGTTTTCTCCCTCACTCTCCCCAATCTCTATCCCTCTTACCTTGTATAACATTTGTCACCTTATGTTATACTGTGCATTTATTCTCTATTCATTTTTGTCAAGGGCAATCTTTCCATTTGCTTGGAAGTAGAGTAAAATAAGGTTTTAGTAAACAGTGTTTACCACAAAGATAAACATTAAGAAACCTTTTGATCCATCACCGCATCTTCTACCATCAACCACATATGTAATAGTCTTTTTTTTTTTTTAGTATCTTATTGTGGGAAGGAAGGAAGTGACAGAGTCAATATAATTTCCATGATGATTTAAATAATTTGCTTATTGACTTAACATCTATATACATTCATTGGAAAGACGAATTTACATAAATGTATGAAGCATAATTTATAATCTCTTTCAGACAAAGACTGGTTTGCAAGTGCATTTACAAACCCCTTTAGTTACATCCTTAGAGATCAACACTGCTCTAGGTATTGAGGATCCATAGATACATGTAACTTACCCCATTCCCTCAGCGTTAAAGCCTGCTGTCTTCATGTTTTACACAGCAGATAAACAAACTTACTCTTCTGTTCCTGGCTACTGCCCCACAATAACTTTCTAGCTCTCATTTGATTATTGCCATTGACGGCAGCCAGTATGTTGAACAGTGTTAGTCATTACCATGACTAACTTGAAATTTAAAATATAATAATTACTATAAAATTGATTCCAGCTTACCGTGAAAGGTTGTTGGAATAGGAAACTGCTTAATTTCTAAGGCAATCTTCTCCGTCATTCTCTGATTATACCTTCTCCTATATCTTCCTCAATTGTGTTTCAACAATATTGTCCCTTTCTCTTACAGCTTCAGTCTTTCCTATTCTGTTAGATTCCTGATCTTAGCCTATAGTTATCATGAAATCGCCTGTGTCCTGACAACAGCAAAGTCTCTCTTTATTCTGGGTCCCTTTGTGTTACTATCCCATCCATTTTCCTTCAAAATCTAATACTTAATTCTTCTCTGCTGCAAGCCTACTGATATTCTTCTTCATTTAATTATGTTTATCACATTAATTCATGTATATAGTTTACAAAGGCAAATAAAGCTTAAAACCATGGTAATGCTAAAAATGTTTAACAACTGATTGAGCATAGATACTGACCAGTCAGATAAGATCATGAACCAATTATCTTTGCTTACGAAATACCCTTATCGGGCAGCCCCGGTGGCCCAGTGGTTTAGCGCCACCATCAGCCCAAGGTGTGATCCTGGAGACCTGGGATCAAGTCCCATGTAGGGCTCCCTGCATGGAGCCTCTTTCTCTCTCTCTCTCTGCCTCTTTCTCTCTCTCTCTCTCTGTGTCTGTCATGAATAAATAAATAAAATCTTTTTTAAAAATACCCTATCATACCCATTCTCACTCTGGTTCTCTCCATCCAGAAACAACCACTTTCAAATCATTGCTGTCTCTTCTGCTATTTGTTTCTTTTTTTTCTTCTGCTATTTATATCTGATTCCTTTATAACATGTTCATACAAGCATTTCTTTTAAACTATTGCCTGGATTTTCAGTCACTCCATGTTCTTCAAAAGTACTAATGCCTAAACTTGTCTGGGTTTCTGTGGGATATATTTACTTTATTCTTATGGATTTTCTTCATGAGGCCTTTCAGTTCTCTCTGGTCTACTAAAACCATTACCACCGGCCCATCTGCTTTGTAGCTTCTAAAATTTTGGTAATCCCTCAAGTCTGTAGTCATCTCGTTGCAGGGTGGACTGCAGAGACATTGGGTCCTGAATCTTTGACCCAATCCATCCATCTGGTCAGCCATCTTGGGCCTGTCTGGTTTGATCTGGCTTCTTGTGGCTTTGTTTTGGAATGCTGCCAGGACAGGCCTCTGACTTTCCTGATAGCTGGCTATGACTTCTTTGCTGGCTGCCAGGCATCCTGTTAGAACCTAACTAGAGGCCTCTAACACTCTCCCCATTCCATTTGGATGTATTGATTATACCTTATTTTTTAAAATTGTTTTATTCTTACTTTAGTGGCACTTGGAGGGGAAGCAGAGTCTTTTGTTTTTGTATTTACAGATTTATTTGTTTATTTTAGAGAGACAGAGAACATGAGCAAGAGGGAAGGGGCAGAGGGAGAGGGAGAGAGAATCTCAAGCAGACTCTGTGCTGACCACAGAGCCCCACAATGTACAGCTTGATCTCATGATTCTGAGATCATAAACTGAGCCAAACCCAAGAGTTTGACACTTAACCAACTGAGCCACCCAGGCACCCTGGAAGCAGTTTTTTTTTTTTTTTTTTTTTTTAAAGCCTGTGTTCAATTTCCCGTATCTGAGCACAAGGTCAATCAAATGGCTACCCTGTACTTCTGCTTCCATTTTCTGGCCTCAACTCTCAAAGGTCTGGTTTCTACCTCTAACACTCAGCTAAGACTACTTCTTTGAGGAATCCCAGTAATCCTTGTTCATCTAATTCAGTGGCCTTTTTTCAGCCTTCATCTTCTGGAGCTCTCTGCCACAGTAGACACATGGAGCAAAGGACCCCTCTCTGGCTGGGAAGCAAACTCTCTTTTACTTGCTCCACATCTTCAGCTCCTTTAATGTAAATTCTCCTCAATGTTCTGTTTTTGTTGGGTTTGTTTTGTTTTGTTTTGTTTGCCATTCAGTGAATACCAGGCCCACCATACCCCTTAAAGCAAGTCTGAGAAGCTTTCACCTGAAATGAAGGTCAGAAGCTTCCAGTGATTACAGAGAACTAGACATTGTAGCTGTTGTTATATGATCTTTCCTGGGACTAAAAGCCTTAATTTTTTATGTTTTCTCTAATCTAAGAATGATTGAAAAGTTATGACACTTGTGCATGTTTCTGTCAATGAGCAAGGAAAAAGGAGACCCGAGAAAGGATTTAAAGGAATAAAGTCTGGAAAGAATTATGTTGTTTTCTACTTGCACCCAATTGGAATATCTCTCTTTCAATATAAGGGTGATACATAGAAGGGTGACAGTTCCTGCTATCAGGCACTTACAGTCTTCTCAGTGGAAGATATAAGAGCTAAGTAATTACAAAAATTTCAACTCTAATAAGTGCCACAAAAGAGGAACCATGAAAAGTATTGACTGGTGGATTTCTTCAGAGCTCAATGTGTCAAAAGCCAATTTAGCGAATGACCAATTTGTGAAATTTTCTTCTTTATGTGGCTATTTACTAAAGTTTTGTGAAAAGCATATTAGATAGAATAACTTTTAGAGCTTATGCAAATTCTTGCATGGTTTTAATTGATTGTTTTTTATTTGTTTTCATGACAGCATTTAAAGATTGTTCAATTTGTTTCTGTCCCCACTGGCTGTTATTGCAGCTGGAGGACACTGAGAAAGAGAGGGGGACTTGTCACTGAGGACTAGGGAGACCAAAGGACAAGACACTCATCCTCCAGACAGGCCAACTAGGGGACAGAAGCAGCACTGGATTTCCACAACTCGTTTTTTACCCAATTGGTCTGTTCCCAGCCCTCCACATATTTCCTCTGGATTCCTGCAGGTCTAATTGGCCTCCTGCCTGTCTGACCTGATCTCCAATATCTTCCTCAAATGCATATTTGCTTCCTTGCTGAAAGTGACTCCCGTGGGACCTGCTCTCTTATCCTCCACCACCCTCCCTTTCTATTCTCTAGTCTCAATCAAGCCTCCTGTTCTCTTTCTTACAGTCTTGCCTAAAGTACCTACCCACCACCCCCTCTGCCAGCAACTTCTGCTCAGCACCCTCAGAACTCAGCCCAGATCAGTTCTTTCTGGAAATGTTCCCAAGCTTCTTCATCAGGCCAGGGCCCAGAACACTGTCCTAATGGCATTTTCAACCATCTCTACCAGAGAAATTGTCATTCAGGCTTGCCTGTCTCTCTTTGGGTGTGACAGGGAGTTCTATTCCTCTGGTCCTAGTCTTTCTGTGTTACAGAGTAGTACTTACTAACTCATTTATTGAGTTAATGAATAAATGAGCTAATAATCTGTCTTCCAGGATTTAGACACACACCAGATACCCCTTTGCCAAAAAGTATTGCCAAATGCACATCCTTCAGACACTTCATACTCAAATGGTCGCAAACCAAATTCATAATAGCATTATAGATCTTCACTATCACTCAACCTCAAGACCTAGTACCCACCCTCAAACCCTAAATGGATTAAATTGTCCAATCCTATTACTTTTGGTTGCCTGAGTGTCTTTTGAAACCATTCTGATACTCCACTCCTGCTGCCTCTTACCAGTTTCCTGGCCAGTGACCATTCCATTTGAAGCATATGAAACCCCATACACCCATCAGTTGGGACTGCTCTTGATTCCCTGAATACATTCTGCACCACCCCTCTTGTAAAGACAGGCTGTAGCACCAGCCCTCTGCTAACATCTGTCCTTCCTTAACTTGCTCAAATGCTACCACCTCCATGAGGTCTTTTTAAATTCCTTAGAAATACTAACTCTCTTCCACTCTGGTTCTCCGAGAGTACTGTGTTGTGTCTACCACTGTTATATCAATTACCACAGTCTGCCTTGTACCCCAGTTGCAATGTGTGTTTCTGTCTTATTGCTTACATATCAAGCCCCTGGAAGACAGAACCCTGTATCTTAGAGAAACTTTACACATAGTAGGAGTTTAACAAATGGCTTTTTTGGCACTAATAAAATTAACCAATTTCATTCATCAATTCATTCCACAAGACTATATTTCACACCAGTTTTACTTCTTAACATGATTTCTTCAAAGGCAGAGTTTTATGTTGGCTTTAGGATAATAATAATTCCCATTGATTTCATGCCTAGCACCTGTCAACCATTATATGTTTATAATTTCTAATCCTTGCAATAGCCTCGCAAAATAGAAGATGTTACCTCCCATTTTACAGGTGAGGAAACACACATTTTATGAGGGTAAGTAACTTACCCAAGGGCATATAGTTGTAAATACCCAAGCTTGGACTAGAAGTCAGGTTTGTGATTCTGCAAGCCATGAAAACATATCACCCTATCTGTACTGTGTGATAGGTGAGTCTGTTTTGTTCCTTTCCTTCGTGTATAATCATCTTCAAAAAGAAGATTTTGGTTTGTTACTGTTTATTTTGTGTTTTACAGCTTTCTTTGCTATCAAACACACCACAAGTGAGTCTGTTAGATGAAAAATGTTTAACTGAAAGATACACACATCTCTCCTGCAATAAAGTCTTCTGCCAACCATGGCAGAAATGCATCGATGGGACCTGTACTTGTAAACTCCCTTATCAGTGCCCAAAGGATGGTACCTCAGTGTGTTCAACTAATGGGAGAAACTACCCAACTTACTGTCAGCAAAAGAGTTTTGAATGTCTTCGTCCAGGGGCAAAGTTTTTAAATAATGGAACATGCACAGCTGAAGGTAGGAAAAGTCTAGTTGAGTCTATGATGTAAGAAGGAAGTTTTTTGTCATCCCTTCTACTAGAAAATAATTTTGCCATGAAATGTTATGATGACAATTCAAAATTCCTTTCTCAACCCTTGATTGTAATTTCTGTGATAACTAAAGAAATAACATCACCAGAATATAGCCAGCCTTTGAATCCACAGCACAAGGCCCCCAAGGTCAGTCCTTCCCCTCAATGCCTGGTGCCACTCTCTGTTACCCAGCCCTTCAAAATTATCCTTACCCTCACTTCTACTTGGCTAGCAGGACTATTCCCAGAACTATTGAATTGGTTCAGAACCCAGTGAACAAATCTTTACATGACATTGATACTGAGATGGAGCTGCACCTCTGGACCTCCAGCTCCAATAATTTCTTCCAGCATCCATCCTACCAGCCCCTACCCCAAGGGAACCCCAACCCTGTTGGCCCTGATCTAAGGGGAACTCAGGCCTCTGCTGACCTAGGCCATGCTCTAACCTGGTCATGCTCTAAAACTTCTAACTTTGGTACATCAAATGAAAGAGCTTGTCTATACTCCATCCAGGTTCCTAATGCAGTGAGGAGGCTGGGATACTGACAGGTAGATCTGTGGAGTGGTTAAGGTTATGAATCTCACTGCCAGATTTAGCTGCAAGCTCCTCTACCCCACCTCAGTTATTGACAAGCTATGTGACTGTCAGATCCCATTTTTCCACATCTGTAAAATATGAATAACACTAGTTCCTAACTCATAAGACCCTCATGAAAACTAAATAAAATCACGTATGTAAAGCTCTTCACACACTGGCACACAAAAAAAGCTCAAGAAATTTTAGCTATGACAGCAAACCTTAGGCTATATTCAGATATCAATTATCACAGGCACTGAGTGAATTGATAGAAAAATACTCAAAACATTCTTTCTTTAAAAAAAAGATTTATTTATTTATTTGGTTATTTATTTATTTATTTATTTGAGAGAGAGAGCACGCAGTGGGGAGGGGAAGAGAGAGAGGGAAAGAGAAACTCAAACAGAGTCTGCATTCAGCACCAAGCCCCACCTGGGGCTCCATCTCAGGACCCCGAGATCATGACCCTGAGCCAAAACCAAGAGTCAAGTGCTCAACCGACTGTGCCACCCAGGCACCCCAAAACATTGTTTTTAAAGGCACCATGCCATAGGTCAGTGCAGTAGCCTAAATATCTGTGTGATGCTGAGTGAAGATGTTGAAGCACTGTGGAGCAGGCAGTAGAGAGCCCCCTATTTCAACCCATCTCTTTTGCCTGTTGGAGGAAGGGAAGAAATAATAGAGATTATTCTGTCAGTGGCAGACTTTTGTTGTCTTGAGGCATTAAATGCCTTAAATATATGAGGATGTATAAAACTTTTTTACATTCTAATTATTTGTTTGGCTTACTTTTAAAAAGAGCACAGACTTGGGAGTGAGATCAATATGATAGCTTCTGATTCCTGGCTTCCCCACTGGAGCGAGCAACTTAACCGCATGTGTAAAAATGGAGGAATTTAGGTTCCTCATGTGTAAAAATGGGGATAAATATCAGTGTTTTCTTCACACGGTTGCCTCATAAAATAATTGCCTGCTATTTTCTGTCAAAATCTTCATGGAGTTCATAGTTAATTTGAAATTATGTATTTTGTTATTTTAAAGGCTTTTAATCATGAGGAGAAAATATAATTGCCTAATATTGCTCATTCTTTTGTTTTGTTTTGTTTTATTTTTAATTTTAGGACAATTTGGCATTTCCTTAAAGTATGGAAATACCACTTCAGAGGGAATTGTTGAAGTAAAACTTATACACCAAGATAAGAAAATGTTCATATGTAAAAAATCCTGGAGCATGTTGGAGGCTAATGTGGCCTGTGTTGACCTTGGATTTCAACAGTGAGTGCTTGTGTCAGTGGATTATCTCGGGGTTGGTCTTGTTGTTCCAACTATTAGCTTTTTGATTACCCAGTCTTTCTGCTTTAATTTCCTCATATGTGACCTGAGAATATTAACCACCTGCCTCCTAGCATTGTTATGAAGATTAAATATGTTCATGTTTCACTATTTATTCCTATTCATTTACACTTAGAACATGGCTGAGCACAGAGTACCTGTAGGTTTGTTGAAGTTCCAGAGAGTTGTAAATATGTTCATTACCAATGTGTTGGTTTGTTGCTGCTTCTTGCATCTCTCAACTTTATTCTGAATTCAGGTTCCTTCTTCCTATACCACATCTGCTAGTGGTTCATTAGTGAAAGTATCTGATTAAACTGAGCCACAAGATACTTGTGGTCTTTGACAGTTTGTGACCTACAACCTATGATTCAACCTAATAGGAAAGTCTTTCAGTCTTTTATCTCCCAGTATTTTACTCTTATCATATTTTGTATGAGCTCATGGACAGACTTCTCTTATTTTAGCCAGTGGGTATTTCCCTTCCTTCTTTAAGATCTCGTTGAACCCCTGGTCAGGCTCCCTGCTCAGCAGGGAGTCTGCTTCTCTTTCTCCCTCTGCTCCCCCTCCCCACTTGTGCTCTCTTTCTTTCTCAAATAAGTAAGTAAATAAATAAATAAATACAGCTTTATTTATTTTTTATTTATAAAAAAGAGCTCATTGAATGCATTTTATCTAGTATTTTTAGATAGTTTTAGATTGATTTTTTCAAATTATTTACCTCTGAGATTGCCCCAATGGCTCTTATTTGTTCCCATATTTTGATGCTGTTTGGCACAGTTTTATGACTCTTTCATCATCATTATGGATCCAAAATCATTAAAAATACCTTCTTTATTCTCTTTAATTGTTTTCTTTTTGCTTTTCATTCTAATTGATATGATATTTATATTGTGATTATTGCTTTGTTATTGTTTATATATTTTACCTGATGCATCTTTCTCAACTTCTTATTTTTAACATCATTTCCCCCATTTCCTTCTAAAGAAACAAGAAACAGTTGAATGTTCTGAAAGAACAATTTACTATAACTCATCATCTCTAGTATATTGAGTCATAGAGGTAGCCTCTTACATGCACAAATTCTGAACAAATTGAGAAGTTCAAGCAATGGCATACAGATGCCAAAATATCACCTTAATACTGTCAAGGCTGAATTGAGGACATAGTTTAACATAAAAACAAAACGAACCTCCTAGAATTAAATCAACTTAACCTCCCAAAATCTAAGCAACAATGGAACCAACTAGGTGAACCTTACAGCAAGTGAAGCAAGTGAAGCGGTCCCCAAAAGGAAAGATGGAAATGTGAACTAACCTTGATTTATAACTCCAAAATTCCCTGATCAATTATTCGGTTCCCTTTCCTTGAACAAAGAGGAATTAAGAGATGGAGAGAGGCCAAGAATGACACCCTCAGGTTGAAAGGAAACATCAGGAGTGTGGAAGAATAATTCCTCCTTAACAAGAAACAGAGAAGAGGAAACTATTATTTGCTGAGTATTTGTCACTCTTGAACTTTGGCTAGTCAATTTAAATTGACTGCTTTAATTAATCTTTCCAAAACTAGCTGAGATTATTATGTTCCCTTTTGTAGGTGAAGATACTGAGGCTCAGAGAATTTAAGCATCTTGTTCAATGTATCATTCATATGTAGAAAATTAGAGGAAATTACTTTAGTTCCTTTTCTCCTACACTAAGATTATAAATGCAAGCTACTAATTATTCTACCTTAATGTTTCATTTATTCTATTTGTAGAGGTGCTTTTGACATTCAAAAAATGTTTGAAGTTCCTGAAGAGCAACATAAAAATCTCACCGAATGTCTGCAGGTACATTGTCGAGGATTAGAGACAAGTTTGGCTGAATGTACTTTTACTAAGAGAAGAGCTAAAAATGTAGCTGGTGTGGTTTGTTACACAGAGAAAACAGGTTGGTAGAGTACTTGCCTGAAACTCCAAAACTTCCTTCAAAATTGCTTATTGCACACCAGTCTGTAGTAAATGAACAAAGGATGGATACTCAATTGCAATAATAGGGGCAAAATCATTCTGGGGGACTTTAAAACCTAAACTGGTGCTTTTCCTCTATTGCACCTTTTTGCGTTCAAATATTACTTCTATCCAGGTTCCTCTCTGGGGGCAAAGCTGCTTGACTTCTCTTTGCTTGCTGGAACAGCTGGATTAAAGTTAATACAACAAACATAAGCAACTCAAACATCAGAAGAAACCTCCATATCTTCTTTGAGAGGTCCAGCCTACACACTTCAAAATACCTTTAAAATATTTAAGTGGCCACAGTCTCAAAGCAGTCACTGCCACTTTTTTCCTAAGTCTTAACTAGATTGGAATATTTTAGTCACAAATACGGTTTTAAAAGCTAAAGCCTGGGACACCTGGCTGGCTCAGTGATTGAGTATCTGCCTTCAGCTCAGGTCGTGATCCCAGGGTCCTAGGATGGAGTCCAGTGTCAGGCTCCTCGCAGGGAGCCTGCTTCTCCCTCTGCCTATGTCTCTGCCTCTCTCTGTGTGTCTCTCATGAATAAATAAATAAAAATCTTAAAAAATAAAAATAGAGGCTGAAGACTTTTTTGGTGCTAAAAAAATACCATCAAAATATAAATGGCACTGTTCAAATAAGTTATGAGATGGAAGTGAGGATTTGTACAGCAGCGGGAAAGGAATGGGTGAACACCTGTATTTGCCAATGTGAGCAAGGACCTGTGATCCCTGATCCCCATCCCCCAACCTCAATGAGTACAGACCTCCACAATAAATACTGGTTTTCAGAGATAACGAAAGGGTCTCCATAAACCAACTTTGACATTTGTTTTCCTTTTTAACCATATATATTATGTTGATCCTACCAATACAGTTTATATCATTTTTTACTTGATGCCTGACTTTATCTTAATGTCTCTGTTATTCCAAATGTGTCACCTACAACTCCATAAATAAATTTCACAAAGATAATTCATAATTTACAGTTTCTACAGCAAGTGATTCCTTCCATTGCGTGAATGGGAAACAGATTCCTCAAAAGAGGACCTGTAATGGTATCAATGATTGTGGAGACCAGAGTGATGAACTATGCTGTACAGGTAGTAAAAGACTTCCCCCATTGAATTTTAGATTCTATCCCATTAAATATTAAGTATGAAAAAAATAAAAATAAAATCTCTACTGTTTATGTTTGTGCAGGATGCCATGGCAAAAGTTTCTTTTGTAAATCTGGTGTTTGTATTCCAAACAAGTATAAGTGCGATGGTGAAGTGGACTGCATTACAGGAGAAGATGAAAATGGTTGTCAAGGTAATTTAAAGTTGTGTGGTTATGTTTTTTCATTACTTGATCTGGGTATTCTGAAACTTCCTTTTAGGTAAATTGTAATTTTAAATGAGTATAGGACAGTGTTAGCAGTAAGAGTACTACTGAATGGGCATTTGAAGAACTATGGAATGTTCTTCTCTCATATTTTAATTTATTAAACATATTTGTTATTTCAGAAATTTGTATTAGAAAAGCTCCCACATAACAAAACTAGACATTAGTAGAATGAACCAATATGTGCCTATCTCCCAGCTCAAACAGTTATCAATATTTTGCCAGTCTCATTCAACTTGTTTGAGTATTTTAAAGCACATTTGAGATACCACGTCACTTCACCTATATAAATTTCTAATGATACAAACACTTCATATATACACAATATATTTTCATTGGTATACCTAATAATAATTCCCTAACACTGTTTAATAACAGCCCATGTTCAATTTTTTTCCAACCATCTCAAAAATATCTTTTTAAAAAATATTTTATTAATTTATTTGAGAGAGAGAGAGTGAGTTGGAGGGAGAGAGCTAGAGAATCTGAAGCAGACTCCAAGCTGAGCCCAGAGCCCAGTGGGGGCTCCATTCCATGACTATGAGATCATGACCTGAGCCAAAACCAAGAGTCATCAGATGCTTAACCAACTGAGCCACCCAGGTGGCTCTCAAAATTGTCCTTTTAGAACAATGTGTTTGAATTAAGGTCCAAAATAATCTAACATTGTATTTGATTATTAAGTTTTTAAAGTCTGTTTTATTCTTTAAGAGTTACCCACCTGGAAACACAATGGTCCAAGATCTTTGGGATACATCAAAAGCAGTTCTAAGAAACAAGTTTATACCAATACAGGCCTATCTCAAGAAAGAAGAAGAGACCCAAATAAATAATCTAACATTATATCTAAAAGAGCTAGAAAAGGAAGAACCAAAAAAGCCCAAAGTTCATAAAAGGGCATTTAAATTTGTAAGGAAAAAATAAAACTGTCACCATTTGCAAATGACATGATACTTTACATGGAAAACTCTAGGGGTACCTGGGTGGCTCAGTCAGTTGGGAATCCAACTCTTGATTTTGGCTCATGTCATGATCTCATGGTTCATGAGATAGAGCACTACATTAGGCTCCACGCTCAGTGGAGATTCTGTCCCTCTGCTCCTCCTCTCACTTCCTCTCTCTCTCTCTCCTCTCTCTCTCTCTCTCTCCCCCAAAATAATAAATCTTTTTTTTAAAAAAAAAGAAAACTCTCTCTGCCCCTCCTCTCACTTCCTCTCTCTCTCTCTCCTCTCTCTCTCTCCCCCAAAATAATAAATCTTTTTTTTTTTAAAAAAAGAAAACTCTAAAGACTCCACAAAATAAACTATTAGAACCAATAAATGAATTCAGTAAAACTGCAGGATACAAATAAACATTCAGATATCAGTTGTGTTTCTATATACTTGTAACAAATTATTGGAGAAAGAAATTAAAATAACAATCCCATTTATAATTGCACCAAAAGGAATAAAATATCTAGGAATAAATTTAATTAAGGAGATGAAAGATTTGTACTCTGAAAACTATAAGACATTGATGAAAGAAATTGAAAGTGAAACAAATAAATGGAAATATATACCATGTTCATGGCTTGGAAGAACAAATATTTTTTAATGTCCATACTACCCAAAGTAATCTATAGATTTAACACAATCCCTATCAAAATATCAATAGTATTTTTCATAGAACTAGAGCAAATAATCTTAAAATTTGTGTGGAACCACAAAAGACCCTGGATAGCCAAAATAATCTTGAGAAAGAACAAAGCTGAAGGTATCACAATCCTAGATTTCAAGATATACTACAAAACTATAGTAATCAAAACAGTATAGTACTTGCACAAAAACAGACACATAGATCAATAGAACAGGATAGAAAGTCCACAAATAAATGGATGCTTACATGGTCAATTAATTCACAACAAAGGAGGCAAGAATATATAATCTAGACAAGACATTCTTTTCAATAAATGGTGTTGGGAAAGCTGGAAATGTACATTCAAAGAAATGAAACTGGATCACTTTCTTACACCATACACAAAAATAAACTCAAAATGGATTAAAGACCTAAATGTATGTTGTTTAATTTAACTTAAATAAAAAAATAAAGACCTAAATGTGAGAACTGAAATCATAACACTCCTAAAAGAAAATATAAGCAGTAATCTCTTGGACACCAGCCTTAGCAACATTTTTCTAGGAATTTCTCCTCAGGTGAGGGAAACAAAAGTAAAAATAAACTATTGGGACTACCACAAAATAAAAAGCTTTTGCACAGCAAAGAAAACCATCAACAAAATAAAAAGATGACCTACTGAATGGGAGAAGATGTTTGTAGATGATATATCTGATAAGAGATTAATATCCAAAATACATAAAAATTTATACAACTCAGTACACATGCACACACACACACAAAATGATTAATAAATGGGCAGAGGATCTGAATAGATATTTGTCCAAAGAAGACATAAAGATGGCCAACAGATACATGAAAAGATGCTCAACATCCCTAATCATCAGGGAAATGTGAATCAAAACTATAGTAAGATATCACTTCACACCAGTCAGCATGGCTAGTGTCAAAAGGACAAGAAAAAACAAGTATTGGTGAAGATGTGGAGAAAAGAGAACCCTTGAGTGCTGTTGATGGTGCACAAAATTGGAGCAGCCACTATGGAAGACAGTATGGAGATTTCTCAAAAAAAATTATACATATTTGTATATATCTACCATATGATTCAGCAATTCCACTGTATACCAATACAAGAGAACAAGAACACAAATGCAAAAAGGATGTGTGTATCTCTATGTTTATTGCAGCATGAATTACAATAGCCAAGATATGGAAGCAACCCAAGTGTCCACTGACAAACAAATACATACACTGACAAACAAATACACACACACACACACACACAGAGGCATATTACTCAGGTCATAAAAAAGAATAACATCTTGCCATTTGCAACAACATGATAAACCTAGAGAATATTATGCTAGGTGAAGTAAGTCAGAGAAATACAAACAGCATATTATTTCACTTATATGAAGAATTTAAAAACAAAACAAATGAACCAACCAACAAACAAAAGCAGACATAGATACATAAATACAGAGAACAAACTAGTGGTGGCCAGAGATAGGTGGGGAGAATGGGAGAATTAATTGAAGGAGATTAAGAAGTACAAAATTCCAGTTATAAAATAAGTATGTCAGAGTATGGTCAATGATATTATAATAATGTTGCATGATGACACACAGTAACCACACTTACTGAGGTCAGCATTGCATAATATGTAGAATTGTTGAATCTTGGGGTCATACACCTGAAACTAATATAACAGTTTTTGTCAACTATACTTCAATTTAAAAAATGTTACCTACCCATCCACTCCCAATTTTTTTCATGCCATTGGTTTTTAGAGAAACTTGGTCATTTGTCTATAGGATGCTCCTTATTCTGGATTTATAGAGATTTGAAAAAAAAAAAAGAAAACCTCTGATGCTAAAAAATATTTACTAGGTGCCTACTCTGTGTCACACAGACTGACTTCTTCCTTACATCAATGCTTTCTGGAAGAAAAATCTCTGGAAATTATTATATTCATTCATTTATTCAATGAATATTTATTAAGTTCTTACTATATATGTGCCAGACCCTATTCTTGAAAAGAGAATCTAATTGTTTTTATATTCCAAATGTAATGCCTTATAGATAAGCATTAAATACATGTTGGAGATATATATGGACAAATTAATTGATAATAATTATATTTTGGCAGTGCTTGGTATTATATGACTTTACTGAAGTCTTATTTAATTTCCCATTGACATCAGTTCTTAAATATAAAAACACACTTTTTAGGATTTCAAGTCATATTATTTCTTTTGATTTATATAAGCAGTTCAGCAAAATACTTTATGTTCATTAAAAATAGTTAAAACCTTAATAAAGAGAGAAAAGAAAGAAATTTCAAAGCATTTTTAAGGGAGGAAGACAGTGAATCACAACTCTTGCCAGGATGCTTGAGAGTTTTTCCCTCTCAGTTTTATTGAGATAGAATTGACATACAATACTGCATATAAGTTTAAGGTGTATAATATAGTGACTTGGCACACATTCATCGAAAGATGATGACCACAGTAAGTTTAGTTAACATCTATTATGCCATACAGTTACCAAAAAATTTTTTTCTTTGTGATGAGAGCGTTTAGGATTTACTCCCTTAGCAATTTTTAAGCCTACCATATAGCAATGGTAACTATAGTCACTGTGCTGTACATTGTACCTCCAGTGCTTATTTATCAGGAAGTTTGTAGGACAATTCCCCACCCCCCCACCCTCTGCCCCTAGTAACCACAAATTTGATCTTTTTTTCTCTGAGTTTGCTTTGTTAGATTTTACATATAAGTGGCATCATGCAGTATTTGTCTTCCTCTTAAGCTTACAATTTGATTTCACTTTTCAGCATAAGAATATTTGGGGTTTCTTCACCTTCTCCTCTTCTTTGGTCCCTTTTCTCTCCCTCTCCTCCTTCTCCTGATTCAGTTTAAGGTCAAAGAACACAAATTGTTAGCTTATCAGGGGGAAAAAATCCCACTGCTAGCGAGTAACTATGACATAAAGCTGACTTTTAAAAAATCAATTATCTTGAACCCATATCAAAAATACATTTAGTCAACTCTCATTGTTACTTCCATTTACCCTTCTGTGGAGTTAGCATCACCATTTGTATTTCAGTAGTGCTTCTAATTTTTCCCTCTCTAAGCAAGATCAAATGAGAGCAGAGATGTAAAATAAAAATATTATTATATTCATTGATCTTTCAGCGGACAGATCAGAATCACTACACCAATGGAAGTTTGGAGTGTAAATTGATTTCATGTATCCTGAAAAATCCCACCTTTTATACATATACGTTTAAAAGAGTTATACATTTTGTATAACTATATAGTAAATTTGCTGTCCATATGTGTTCAAATATATTCAAAATATACATTTCTTTTTAATACCCAAGAAAAAATTATTTCCTTGTTGTAGTGAAATTGGTATGTGTTCAAATGCAATATGAAACGTTTGTTATGTGGTATTAAAAATCAAAGAAAGATGACATACTGTGATTCCCTTTTATCTTTGGAAAAATTTTGTTATATTATTTCTGAGATATTAATGATTCATATATATTTTATTCATGTGAACATTATGTCTTTGCTACAGTGAGTGTTTTGTTTGTTTTTAGGAACTGAACATTCTGAAATTAAAGGTAAATCCATTTTTATAATAGAAAATTTATTACAAAATTGAGAAAAGGATAAGGTATTGTAATTTCATAATATATGTACATATGATATGGTATGCATGTTTCTCAAAAATTATTCTTCACTATGGTAAATTTTTGGTTTTTCTACATGTGGTTTTTTTTTTTACATGTGGCTCAAGATAAAAAATTTATTAAATTCTTGGAATATTGCAGAATCAAAATAAAACAAAGCTATTGCTGTCTCCTTTATATAATTTTTAAGATCTATTTATTTTAGAGAGAGAGAGAGAATAAGAGAGAGAACTGGGGAAGGGGCAGAGGGAGAGGGAGAGAGAATCTTCAAGCAGACTCCCTGCTGAGTGTGGAGCCTGATGTAGGGCTGGATCTCATGATCCTGAGATGAAATCAAGTCAGATGGTTAACCAACTGAGCCACCCAGCTGCCCCTCTTCTTCTCTTTTAATGTAGTTATTAATTGCACACTATATGACCACGTGTTAGCAATAGCTCAGCTTTCACATTAGTATAGGCAACAGAGGCCTTTCTCACAGAGTGATAAACTTTCCTTCTCATGCTCATCATCCATAACCTGCTAACCCAAACCACCCAAAGTGGACATATCTCTGTGTTTCACCTTTGCTGAAAACCCTTATCCTCTTCCTTTACTTTTTCCTCAACCCAAAGCAATTTCTGAGGAAATTGCCAGCAGAGTCAAGGTAACATCTTTTCATGATAGGTATTTTCTAATTTACTTTTATAAGCCAGTTGTCACCAAATCCTCCACCTCTTAAGGTCACCCTTTATTATTCATAAGAATAAATTGTCTTTATTATTTCTTTATACTCATATAAATTTCTTTAATATCCATATGAAATTCACATATTTATTTAATATGTCTTTATTATTCATATAATAGGACTATCAGAAGTATGTGATTCTCCTCAGGATTTTTTAGGATTCCTGGAGGACTTCCATATCCTCAAGATCACCCCTGTTCTAAATGCCTAATCTCAATTATTTCATCACTGTTCCTTGTTTTATTCCATCGTTATCCTTTTTCCCCTCCCTCCTTCTTTCCCTTCTTTCCTTCCTAGTTTCAGACCTCCGGTGCAAAGAGATGAGTTAATGATACCCCTCAACTTGTTGCACATGATCAGTGTTGGTCTAGGCAGGGCACCTCACTTGTTTTATTTATTCTCTTTTATTTCAGTTCCTGATTCCCCTTCCCCTTAGGCAACCATTTTCATGTGTATTAAAATGTGTAAAATAAAATAACATGTGTATGTCATGTTGTTTGTATACATTCTTATCCAATGTGTATTATCTTGTGAGCATACATTTTTATTTCACATAGTATATATAGCATTATAAGATCTCATATTTCCTTTATTTCTTTTTACAAAGCATTCAAGTTTTAAAGATCTGTCCATGTTGCTATGTGTCCATCTAATCTGTTGCCTCTAGCTTGCTGCATAAAGCACTCCGTGATGTTCCTCTTTCACAATTTACTCCCTACTTTCCCAATAATGGACTCTCAGCCCTCAGTCACACTATGGTGAATGTTCTCTTCTTCAGGATGTATGGGAGAATTTCTTCAATTCGTCGAGCTGGGCAAAAAGTTGGTTCTCAGGGTATTCATCTACCTAATTTGGCTAACTATTGCCTACATGTTCTTTGGCAGAGCTATACCAGTTCTTACCTCTACCACCAATAATGCAGGAGGGTTCTCCTCAACCCCACTAACATTGAGTATTATCCACCTTTCTAATTTTGCTAGTCTCATACTGTCAGTCAAATGGCATTGTTTATTAATTTGCATTTTTATAATAATGAATGGTTTTGAGTTTCTCTTCATACTAGCTTTTGAGTTTTCATCTTCTTTTCTCCCCTGTATCCTTTTGCCAGTTTATATATTTTCTTTTTTTATTATTATTATTTATGATAGTCACACACACACAGAGAGAGAGAGAGAGGCAGAGACACAGGCAGAGGGAGAGGCAGGCTCCACGCACCGGGAGCCCGACGTGGGACTCGATCCCGGGTCTCCAGGATCGCGCCCTGGGCCAAAGGCAGGCGCTAAACCGTGCGCCACCCAGGGATCCCCATATATTTTCTTAATTTCATGTTGCAGTTGAAGTCTTGTTGATTTGCATTCTAGATGTTTATTCATTTTCAGTTTTAGACATTGCCAATACCTTTTTCCATTCTATCACCAATTGATTAACTCTATCCATAGTGAGCTTTGTTGAATAGAAATCTTAATCTTTATGTAATCAAAGTCATTGACTGTTTTTCTTGTGGCTTGTGCTTTTGGAGCTTTGTGATGTTCTTCAAATATCCAGTACACCTCAGCTACACTGAACATTCTGCATCTTTTTTTGTTGTTGTTGATCATTTAATATGAACATTTAAGTGGTCTCTTTGATTCATGAGGGTGCTTTTGTGAAAGCTTCTGAGCAGAACCTCTCTCTGCCCCAGAAAATAATCTAGGCATGTGGATATGTATATATCTCTCCCAAAAAGAACTTGGAAAATCCAGAGACAAGACACATGATTGCTGTAGCCAAGTAACGTTGCCCTTCTGAGCTGTGCCATTCACAGCCACATCCTCAACCAAGACAAAAAACATGGTGGTGGGAATTCACCTTTGGACCCCTAGGTCAAAGAAATTATGATCCTGTCCTCTGAAATGTTCTAGGATGGCAAAGTGATGATGGAATCATCCCATATAACTTCAAGCAAATGTCTAAGGAAGAAGAGAGAATCTTTTGTTGGTTTGTTTCATTTTTGACTTCTAATATCCTTAATACCTAATACTATCAATGCCTAATACAACATCTTTGTTTGCAGGACTCCTGTAAGAGGTGTCTTATTATGTACAAAATGAGAGGAGCCTTTATGATGTCAGCTCAGTACTCTTTCACTCAGTGTTAGTAACTATTCACTACCTTATATAAGGACTTGGTGAATCAGAGTTGAAAAAGAAACTTTACTGCTCTTACCCAAGCATTGTGCCTTCTCTAAATGCAGAAAACCACAGCACTATAGTTCTCACCATTCTGTACCAACAGACACCTTTAGTTGGTACTTGCAAAATTTCTGCCTAGTTCATCATGAGCCTTCACAATTACCTACCTAGGTATAGAAAGGAAATGAGACAGTGTGCTTTTAGGATTTGTACTGTCCTTTTTAAACACAGGACAGGTTTTTGGGTGCCTGGGTGGCTCAGTGGGTTAAGTATCCAACTCTTGATTTAGCTCAAGTCATGATCTCAGGGCGGTGAAATCAAGCCCCAAGTCTGTGGAGCCTGCTTAAGATTCTCTCTCCCTCTGCCCTTCCCCTACTCATGTGTGCCCACACATGCGCATGCATACCGAAGCCCGCATTCTTTCTCACTCTCTCTCAAATAAATAAATAGAGGACAGGTTTTAAGACAGAAAATTATGATCAAAATTTAAATAATTTTAATTATTTAATTTTTTTATAAACACAATCATAAACATTGGAACTTTTTGTTTTATTATAGAAGAAACAGAATATTTGACTGCTAATATGGATGCAGGTAAGTTAACATTATTCTCTTTTACTACCGATTCCCTGGTTTAAGTCTGCATTTTAATGTTGTGTATGTATGTATGTATGTATGAATGTGTGTACCTGTAATTGATTCAAGCAACAATTACCTTTGCTATCAATCTAAATAGAAAAAATAGCATTACTCTTCTGCTTATCACTATCAAGAAAAACAAACATAAATGTTTCTTGGGAACTACTTTTAAAAATGGATCAACTCACAAAGCTAATTTTGAAGTGAATACAATATTTTTGACCTACATAAAGTTTTATTTGCTGTGAGCTTTGTCACATCAGTTGTGTCAAAAACAACCAGTTTTCGAGCATGACTCATGACATACATTTTGAAATAGAAAAATAATAGATTTTACTTGAACTTCGTTGTTCTTTTGCAATATTTTAAACTGTGATAAAACACGATAAAACAGGTCTCTGAAGATCCATATCCTGGCCAGTTGTACACTGAAAGCCAAATTAAATTAAAGTATTAATTAGAAGTATTAAAATTAAAGTATTAAGCCGCTAAGGAGACAGTAATTAATAAGAGCTTTTGAGTCAGACAAATCTGTGTTACATCCTGACTCATTTATTTATTAACTGCATAACCTTAGGTGAATAACTTAACCTCAAATGCAATTTGGGAATAAAATAACTCCCTGTTTTAGAAGAATTTAAGCTGAGGACTCTCTTCTAAACGCCAGGTCCCAAAATTAATTAACAATGTTTTTTCATCAGACAATGAGTGAAAGATTTAGATCTTGAAGATATAGATATCAGTCTGAAGAGATTTGTCAACAAAGGCGCTTTATTTTATACTCAACATAGCACTGGTTTTCAGATAGTGCCCGAGCTGCTTCCACAATCCTCAGTAGACGAGGTCTTTCTTCTTTTAAAGTTCTAAAAGCCACACCTGGGTGGCTCAATGGTTGAGCAGCTGTCTTCGGCTCAGGGTGTGATCCTGGAGTCGCTGGATTGAGTCCCACATTGGGCTCCCCATAGGAAACCTGCTTCTGCCTCTGCCTATGTCTTTGCCTCTCTGTGTCTCATAAATAAATAAAATCTTTAAAAATAAAATAAAGGTCTAAGCACAAATTTAAAACTTACCATCACACTCTTTCCCCACCCCCATTCTTAGAATGGGTGGGACAAAAAAACAAACAGAAAACTATCCATCTTCACTCACAACTTCTTTCCCTGAAGGAGCTACCTCCTTCAAAGTAATTGACATCGATATTAATTTTCCTTTCTAATTTGGGGCTAATAAGCAAGTTCATAAAAGTATTTGTGATATGGTAAAATATATAGAAAGAATAAGGAAAACATCATATATTTTTACTTTCTTCTTTTTTGTGTGAATTCTTTTGCCAGTTCACTTCTTAAGCTTTGCTCTGCCATGTGTCTCTGTGACAAGTGTGCCACAGCTAAATGCTCACAAAGGAAGGAAATATTATCACATGTCAAGTGACAAAAAAATACCCTCTAGCCCATTGATCCTGGATTGTCTATGGGTCCCTGACACATTACTTCTCAGGGTTAATATGATGGTTAGATGAGATAAACTACATGCAAAGTATTTAGCATGGGGACTGATGCAGAAAGTGCTCAAACCTTAACATCATTAATGTTAATATTATTGAAAAGAATTCCATAGGAACAGCCTCTACAAAGTAAAAACTATGGAAGTGAGAAGATATAGGTGCCCATGTTTTCAGCTCATTCTGAAAATTTCTGAATGAGACCCTCATTTTAAGTATGCCTGGCCATGTGATACCTCTTATCTATCTGCCAAAGACTGATAAATGTTTAACCCTTCAGCTAACCTCTTTCTGCCACCAGTGTGCCTTTAGGCAGAACTTCAGAGAATCAAGCCAATTTTCGTATTAAGCCAGAATTTTTAAACAAGGTAAATAGTACTTGTTAGTATATAAAATAATTTATTAATCAATTCAGCCTGTTTCGTTTTAGCAATGACTTTGCTGTTTTTGTGGCAGAAGTAATGCGTTCAAAATCATAATGATACAATCTCTCTCTTTCTTGAAGAAAGAAAACGGATAAAGTCACTTCTCCCTAAACTATTCTGTGGAGTTAAAAACAACGTGCTCAGTCGAAGGAAACGAGTCGTGGGAGGAAAGGCAGCAGTAATGGTAAAACTGTTACTTCCCAGCAGTCTAAGTTTGAAAAACAAAGAAAGGTGGGGAAGATATGTAATGTTAAGAGACTGGGACTCTTGCAAAGGACTTATCTTAGGGCCATCCGTCTATCACTGTTTGGTAGAATGGCAGTAACCACACTAATGTCTCTTACAGGGAGACTTCCCGTGGCAGGTGGCAATTAAGGAAAATGAGAAAATCAAATGTGGAGGAATTTATATAGGAGGGTGTTGGATTCTAACTGCTGCACACTGTGTCAGGTAAAAAATTGTCTCCAAAAAGATTTTGGATTCCCTGAAATAATCAAAGTGGGTAATAGAGATTGTGGCAGATGATAGATAAAAACATGTGACAAATTCCACTCTATTAACAGCTAAATCCCCTCCAATATTCATGATCGGAACCCCAGAGGCCATTGTCCCAGAACCTACTGTGTTCTTCCCCCCAGACCAAATTATGATCCCAGATGGCAAGGTCAGATCAAACCCATAGGTACCAAGGCATGTTTTTTTGGCTCATTTGCATGATGGGAAGTAGATACTACCTATGTTTTGTAGAGTTACACCAAATTGTCGAGAAGAGTTTATGACTGAAAGGTTTATAAAGAGATAATGCTAACTTGGCATTTCTCACCTCACTTCAACAAGGATGTTGTTTAAAGAGCTGCATGCGTTTAAAAGCTTCAAATGCATACATCTTTTTTGCCCCTTCCATGTACCTTAAATGTATTTGATATGTGTTCCAGACAGTAAAGGAACTGTTCAAAGTTCTGCACTAATTGTCTCACATGCTGTTCCAGCACTGGCTTGCTCATTTTCTGCATGCGTGCATCACTGACATCTCTTCTTATTCTCATAAAGAGACCAATCATATGGGATGAGAGCTCCACTTATGACCTTATTTAAACTTAATTACCTCTTTAAAGACTATCTCCAGGACACCTGTGTGGCTCAGTTGGTTAAATATCTTTTGCGGACTAACACATGATGTACAGTATGGAGGTTCCTCAAAAAATTAAAAAATAGAACCACTATGCAATCTAGCTCTTCTGCTTCCAGTATTTACCCAAAGAAAATGAAAACAAATTTAAAGGTGTCTATGTATACATAAATGGATAAAGATGTATGTATACAATAGGATATTACTTAACCATAAAAAAAGAATGAGATCTTGTCATTAGCAACAACCTGGATGGATCTAGAGAGTACTATGCTAGGTAAAGTAAGTCAGACAGGGAAAGACAAATGCTATATGATTTCACTTATGTGTGGAATCTAAAATACAAAACAAATGAATGAACAAAACAGAAACACATCCATAGGTACAAGAAGCAAACTTGGTTACCAGAAAGGGGAAGAGTTGGAAAGTAAGCAAAATAGATGAAGAAGATCAAGAAGTACAAACTTCTGGTTATAAAGTAAATAAGCCAAGGAGATGTAACATACAGCATAGATAGGCATGCTTATCATTGGCAATAATATCGTAAAAACATTGTATGTTGTCAGATGGTACCGATAATTATGTTTCTGCAGCTGACTAGGAGTGTAACTTTAGCCAGGTTATGTAACTTCTCAGTCTCAGTTGGGTAATCCACAAAATGGGAAGAATAATATTTACCTCTTAGGGCTGTTAAGAATATTAAAACAAAATAACATATATGAAAGTGCCACATACACTATCTGGTCTGTAAGAGGCACTCAGTAAATGATGTTTCATTCATTCTAAAATCAGAACTGAGGCTGGAAATCCAAACTCTGTCCTCTAGCTGACCTTAGGTTGTTATCAACTCATTTTGTATATTGTCCTTCAGCCACTGTTATGGATTGAATTGTGTCCCCCTAAAATTACACATTGAAGACCTAATCCCCAACATGACTAGATTTGGAGATAGTCTTTTTAAATAAATATTTTATTTATTTATTTGAGAGAGAGAGACATCACGTACAAGCAGGGCAGAGGGATAGAGGGAGAAGGAGAAGTGGGCTCCCTTCTCAGCAGGGAGCCCGATGCCCAACTCCATCCCAGGACCCTGGGATCGTAACCTGAGCCGAGGGCAGATACTTAACCAACTGAGCCACACGGGTGTCCTGGAGATAGTCTTTAAAGAGGGAATTAAGTTTAAATAAGGTCATAAGTGGAGCTAATCCCAAATGATTGGTCTCCTTATGTGAATAAGAAGAGATGTCAGTGATGCACACATGCCAAAAATGAGCAAGCCAGTGCTGGAGCAGCATATGAGACAATTAGTGTGGAGCTTTGAGCAGTTAAGTATCTGCCCTCAGCTCAGGTCATGATCCCAGGGTCCTGGGATGCAGTTGGTCATCAGGCCCCCTGCTGAGCAGGGAGCCTGCTTCTCCTTCTCCCTCTACCCCTCTGCCCTGCTTGTGTGCTCTCTCTCTCTCATGATGTACTCTGGAGAACATTCCTGTGTGCTTGAAAAGATTGTGTATCCTGTAGTTTTGGGATAAAATATTTGTATATATCTATTAAGTCCATCTGGTCTAATGCACCACTTAATGCCAATGTTTCCTTATTAATTTTCTGTCTGGATGTCTATCCATTGATGTAAATGATATATTAAAGTCCCCTACAGTTATTGTATTACTTACTATATCTTTCTTTTTTTTTATTTTTTTTTTATAAATTAATTTTTATTGGTGTTCAATTTACCAACATACAGAATAACACCCAGTGCTCATCCCGTCAAGTGCCCCCCTCAGTGCCCGTCACCCATTCACCCCCACCCCCCGCCCTCCTCCCCCTCCCCCACCCCTAGTTCATTTCCCAGAGTTAGAAGTGTTTATGTTCTGTCTCCCTTTCTGATATTTCCCACACATTTCTTCTCCCTTCCCTTATATTCCCTTTCACTATTATTCATATTCCCCAAATGAATGAGAACATACACTGTTTGTCCTTCTCCGATTGACTTACTTCACTCAGCATAATACCCTCCAGTTCCATCCACATTGAAGCAAATGGTGGGTATTTGTCCTTTCTAATGGCTGAGTAATATTCCATTGTATACATAAACCACATCTTCTTTATCCATTCATCTTTCGATGGGCACCGAGGCTCCTTCCACAGTTTGGCTACCGTGGACATGGCTGCTAGAAACATCGGGGTGCAGGTGTCCCGGCGTTTCATTGCATCTGAATCTTTGGGGTAAATCCCTAACAGTGCAATTGCTGGGTCGTAGGGCAGGTCTATTTTTAATTCTTTGAGGAACCTCCACACAGTTTTCCATAGTGGCTGCACCAGTTCACATTCCCACCAACAGTGTAAGAGGGTTCCCTTTTCTCCGCATCCTCTCCAACATTTGTTGTTTCCTGCCTTGTTAATTTTCCCCATTCTCACTGGTGTGAGGTGGTAGCTCATTGTGGTTTTGATTTGTATTTCCCTGATGGCAAGTGATGCGGAGCATTTTCTCATGTGCTTGTTGGCCATGTCTATGTCTTCCTCTATGAGAGCTCTGTTCATGTCTTTTGCCCATTTCATGATTGGATTGTTTGTTTCTTTGGTGTTGAGTTTAATAAGTTCTTTATAGATTTTGGAAACTAGCCCTTTATCTGATATGTTATTTGCAAATATCTTCTCCCATTCTGTAGGTTGTCTTTGAGTTTTGTTGACTGTATCCTTTGCTGTACAAAAGCTTCTTATCTTGATGAAGTCCCAAAAGTTCATTTTTGCTTTTGTTTCTTTTACTTTCGTGGATGTATCTTGCAAGAAGTTACTGTGGCCAAGTTCAAAAAGGGTGTTGCCTGTGTTCTCCTCTAGGATTTTGATGGAATCTTGTCTCACATTTAGATCTTTCATCCATTTTGAGTTTATCTTTGTGTATGGTGCAAGAGAGTGGTCCAGTTTCATTCTTCTGCATGTGGATGTCCAATTTTCCCAGCACCATTTATTGAAGAGACTGTCTTTCTTCCAGTGGATCGTCTTTCCTCCTTTATCGAATATTAGTTGACCATAAAGTTCAGGGTCCACTTCTGGGTTCTCTATTCTGTTCCATTGATCTATGTGTCTGTTTTTGTGCCAGTACCACACTGTCTTGATGACCACAGCTTTGTAGTACAACCTGAAATCTGGCATTGTGATGCCCCCAGATGTGGTTTTCTTTTTTAAAATTCCCCTGGCTATTCGGGGTCTTTTCTGATTCCACACAAATCTTAAAATAATTTGTTCCAACTCTCTGAAGGAAGTCCATGGTATTTTGATAGGGATTGCATTAAACGTGTAAATTGCCCTGGGTAACATTGACATTTTCACAATATTAATTCTGCCAATCCATGAGCATGGAATATTTTTCCATCTCTTTGTGTCTTCCTCAATTTCTTTCAGAAGTGTTCTATAGTTTTTAGGGTATAGATCCTTTACCTCTTTGGTTAGGTTTATTCCTAGGTATCTTATGCTTTTGGGTGCAATTGTAAATGGGATCGACTCCTTAATTTCTCTTTCTTCAGTCTCATTGTTAGTGTATAGGAATGCCATTGATTTCTGGGCATTGATTTTGTATCCTGCCACGCTACCAAAATGCTGTATGAGTTCTAGCAATCTTGGGGTGGAGGCTTTTGGGTTTTCTATGTAGAGTATCATGTCATCAGCGAAGAGGGAGAGTTTGACTTCTTCTTTGCCAATTTGAATGCCTTTAATGTCTTTTTGTTGTCTGATTGCTGAGGCTAGGACTTCCAATACTATGTTGAATAGCAGTGGTGAGAGTGGACATCCCTTTCTTATTCCTGATCTTAGGGGAAAGGCTCCCAGTGCTTCCCCATTGAGAATGATATTTGCTGTGGGCTTTTCGTAGATGGCTTTTAAGATGTCGAGGAAAGTTCCCTCTATCCCTACACTCTGAAGAGTTTTGATCAGGAATGGATGCTGTATTTTGTCAAATGCTTTCTCTGCATCTAACGAGAGGATCATATGGTTCTTGGTTTTTCTCTTGCTGATATGATGAATCACATTGATTGTTTTACGAGTGTTGAACCAGCCTTGTGTCCCGGGGATAAATCCTACTTGGTCATGGTGAATAATTTTCTTAATGTGTTGTTGGATCCTATTGGCTAGTATCTTGTTGAGAATTTTTGCATCCATGTTCATCAGGGATATTGGTCTGTAATTCTCCTTTTTGGTGGGGTCTTTGTCTGGTTTTGGAATTAAGGTGATGCTGGCCTCATAGAACGAATTTGGAAGTACTCCATCTCTTTCTATCTTTCCAAAAAGCTTTAGTAGAATAGGTATGATTTCTTCTTTAAATGTTTGA